TGTTTTATAGAGTGAAAACTAAACAGGTTTCTAATTGTGTCGTACTATATATATCATCTCCTTTGTCCTCTCACCAATAGTCTAAGTAGTTAATATTTTCCTATTAATGGCAATCGTCTCATCAAGGTGGCTGTGGACTCTCTTTTAATTTTAGTAACTTCTCATTCAATAAGAAAATAAGAAACTGCAAGCTTATTGATTATCTAATAAAAATTTGAAAGACGTTTTATGGAGACAAATACAATTAGTACCACCATAGCTCATTTCTTCCCCTATAAATAACAACTGATCTTAGTATTGTTCATCACTCAACAACAACCACGAGAAAGAATCATATATTGGAATATTTCAAACATCTTTTTTTTTCATCATGGCCTTCAAAAACGTGATTTTTCTACTGGCGGTTTTATGCATTGCACTGTCTGCAAATGCTCAATTACCACAATTTCCGGCACCGTTTCCTTTTCCATTTTCATTCCTACCGAGTCCCGGTGTACCAGGATTACCTGATATAACAAAATGTTTGTCATCTTTTATGAATATTCCAGGGTGTATCGCAGAGTTTTCGCAATCTATACTCATTGGAAAGTTCGGAAACATAGGCCCTGCTTGTTGCAAAGCAATTTTGGAAGCTGAAACCAATTGCATTCCACAACTTCCATTCAATCCATTTTTTCCTCCTATGCTAAAGGAACAGTGTTCAAAAACTGTTGGTGCACTTCCTCCTACCAAAAAGTAGAATTTAATTAAAAATAATGTTAACGATTCCATTTTTTTTTCTTTTTTTTTCGTTGAAAAATAAGATTAGGTTTACGATTTGTATCCAAAATTTTAAACGATATAATAATAGCATTATAAACGAGTCACTTTGTTTTTCCCAGTTTTACATAACAATAATCTATACCAATTTTAATTAGATTGCAAAAAGGCTTGCTTGAAGGTGTAATGACCTTTCAAGAAACTACATGTATTTAGAAGCGCTATAAAAGCCGATTCCGAAAATTTCCCATTAGTATTCCAATGGATGATTGTTATTACGTTTTAAATTAGC